ATATTATATTTTTTATGAATGTTTTTATTTTTTTATATATAAACAGTCTTATTTTATTTTTATTAAAACGAATTGTGGTTGTTCGGTTAAAATTATTAAATTTTCGTATTGTAACTTAATTCTAAGAATTCATTTTAAATAAGCAGTGATAAATGATTAGAAATTTAATAGTAACTATATTAAAGGAGAAAATTTTTATTTATTTGTGTTGTTTACTTCTAATTTATAAAAAAATGTATAATATCGACCATTTATATAAAAAAATAAAATAGGGCGTTTTTTATTAAAAGTTTTTGTTTTAATATAAGAACAAAACACCTAGTTAATTTTTTAAGAAATATTAAAAAAAAATGTTTATTATTAATTTCTCTATTTCCTTATAAAAATATTAATAGTGAAAATTCTATGGCAAAAAAATGTGAATAATTATTATAATTATAATTATTATAATTTTATTTTAATAACTTCTGTGCAATATTTAGAATTTATAAAAATTTATATAATTTAAAAATAATATTACATTTTATTTTATTTTGTTTGAATTTGCAATTTTCTTCTCCAGGTGTGGGTATTATTAATTTATTTTTTATACAAATCAAAAGAATACGCTTACGACATGAAATCATAGGTATATGATTTCATGATAAAATATAATTATGGTCCAATTTGATTAAATTATTTGTCGATATGAATTAAATATATATTTTTTAATATCACAGGTATTTTTTTATTTATAAATGGTGTTTTCTTATATTAACAAATGTGAATGCATTTTTTAGAAGAAAATTGCAAAAACGTAACCTTTGTTGTGTTTTATTTTGTTAATGAAACGAATCATTAAATTTAGATATTGCTTGGAACTTAATCAATATCGACATCGTCTATTGATAAAAGTTTTAAATAAAAATTAAAATCTAACGAATCTTTATACCCTACACAACTATGTTGTCAGGGTATTATAGCTTTGTGCAGCGCCAAGAGTTTGTAACGCCGCGAAATATTGGCCCTAGACCCACCGATCGTCATATCTCGACTAGCCGAGTCGATCTAGACATGTGTGTCCGTCCGTCTGTTGATTATAATTTGTAAACACGATACAGGCCACAGTTATGGACCAATCTTCACGAAATTTTGCATGTATTATGGGTTCTCGCCAATGAAGACCCCTATTGTATTGTTTTTGGTAAAGATCGGTTAATATTTAGGGGATGAAATGGACCAAACACAGACATTTGGACCAAAAACAGACTTTATTTTTGTCTGATTTTCTGGTCGCTCCATAGGCCGCAATTATGGCCCATACATCGCGAATTTTTACATGGAGAAGGGGATCGGTCCAAAGAAAAGGTATGATAGTTTTGATAAAGATCGGTCAATATATAGCGGCTCAAATGGACCTTGACTTTTGTGTGAAAAATTACAAAATTTGTATTCTATAGCGTATATATTTACTCCTGATGGACATAGACCCGAGAAGTTGATAGTATATCCAAGAAGAGTGGTTGACCTTTAAATTGATACCAATTATATTGTTGTATGTACTCGGATGTGGGAGGTACATGTACATATTTACATGTATCTACGTATTCAGATATTATTAGCAACCCATTACCCCACTAGAGGGCGGAAATGTCGAGCTGATCGTTTTGAAATGTTCCGTGAGGTTCCGTTATGGTCAAGGACAACGACTATATTTTCGGTAATGATGAGATAATATTATATTTGTGATAAAGTGGACCGAAAACTTAATTTTTTGTGTTTTTCGAGTCGATCTATCGACCACAATTGAAGGCCGAACATCACAACAAAACCCACGGTGAGGGAATCTGTAGAAGTAATTATAAGAGCTGTACTGAATTTTAGTAATATATTAGTCGGTCAAGAGGGTGCAAATACGGCGAAATATTGTCCAGTCTCAGAATGTAGTACCACAAAGGTTAGATTTTCGTGGAAGTTGTGTAGGGTATCATATGGTCGACTCATCCGACTATACTGCTCCGCTCACTGGTTTAAATATAATTTCATAAATGGTTCTACCTTTTAATAAAAACAAATTATGATAATTAGAATATTTAAATTTCCAACGCTTTCAAAAAGTCTTGAGACTGTAGAGGAGTTGATTGGATACGTTTTTATAAATGCCATATCCACAAACTGACTCAGAGCAAAATTACTTTCCATGGTTGTATCGGACCTGCCAAGGCTGTTGAATAATCAGGAAGAAACACACAGTAAATTTACTAAACAGTTACCGATTGAATTCGGTAGATTTCCGAAGAACATTGGCGACGATATATAAGGTAATTTTTGAAAAGATATTGGAAGGTTTTCAAAAAAAAGAAAACACATAATATATATACGATTTTTAATTATCATACAGTCTAGGTGGTGAAAACTGGCCAAATAATTCTGTCGAATAACAATATTAAACGGGAACCGTACACTCTGAGGATATCCTTCTCATTACCTGAGAACGAGGTAATGGGGCATTCTGACTGCCCTAGTTGAGTAATAACTCAATTTACTATACCTGACCTTGAGATATTCTAAAGACTACATTTGAACATATTTATTTTTTACTGGGAAAAATTATTTTTTACTAGGGAAATATTTAAACATGTATTAATATTTTATTTTATTTACACAGAAAACAGCATATGTCAGAAAAAAAATTAAATTTCCCTACCATTTAGTACCAAATTTCATGATTCCAACTCTCAAGGTTCACCCAAATCCAAATTTTACCAAATTTAGTTCCATTTAGCAAACATTATTTCCATAAGTACCCACCTCAACCATCCAACAAAACTTCCTACATATCCCGATCCAACACCCCCACAGTGATCGTAAATCCAAGTTTCAGGATTCTAACTCTATCGATTCATCAACAATTCAAATTGTATTATTTTTAGTACATGGTCGTATCAATTTCAAAACTTCCTACATACCCCAAACCTACACCCCCACAGTGATCCTAAATCCATGTTCCAGGAATCCAAGTCTATCGGTTCACCAACAATTCAAATGGTACCAAATTTAGTACACAGTAGTACGAATTTCCCTGGCTTCCTACTTTACCCAAACCTACACGCCCACAGTGATCCTAAATCCAAGTTCCAAGATTCCAACTCTATCGGTTCACCACAATTCAAATTGTACCAAATTTAGTACATAGTAGTACCATATATATCTCAATCGTACCTACATATCTCAATCGTACATCCCAACAGTGATCCTGACTCTAAATTTCATGATTCTAGTTCTATCTATCAAATTGTGTCAATATTTAGAATCCATAAGTATTAATTTCTTAAACTGAATCATGACCCCAATCCTAAACCCCTACACCCCAAAAGTGATCCTGACTCTAAATTTCATGATTCTAGTTCTATTGGTTCACCAATAATTCAAATTGTACCAAATTTAGTACCATTTAGTACCCATAAGTATTAATTTCTTAAACTGAATCCTGACCCTAATCCTACACCCCTACAGTGATCCTGACTCCAAATTTAATCCTTCCCGCTCTATCGGTTCACCCAAATGCAAATTGTACCAATTACAGTACGATTTAGTACTTTTCGTACACATAAGTAAATAATTTAATGTAGGATTGGGATATGTATGTATCCCAATCCTACATTCCGACGGTAATGTTAATTTCAAATTTCAAGATACCAACTCGATTTGTACCTCCAAATTAAATGTGTACCAAATTTAGTACCATATCTCCTTAAATAGAACTTACATCTCAACCCTAATTCGCATTCCAAAATTTCAAGTTTTTAGCTCTATCCATCCACATGCTACGAAATTGGACCAAATTTAAAACATTTTAGTACTTTTTGTATACTTATAGTTCGAAGGTCCAAAAAAACGCCTCTTCTTCAGTGATCCGCATTTAAAATTTAAGAGTCCTAGCTCTACCGATTCGCCAAATACAAATGGTATCACATTAAATAATTTTCGTACCGTTCTAGTACGAATTTCCAAAAACCCAACCATATCCCCTTGGACCAAGAGTGACCCTCACCCAAAATTTCAAGATTCTAACTTCAGCCTTTTCGGCTTTTATTAGTATAGATAGAAAATCTACAATCTACCTAAGAACCATCAACTTTTTTATATAGAATATTTTGAAGACTTCAATTCATAAGCGATTTTTAGGTCTTCAATTTTCTAAAGAAATCCTGAAAATCTGAATGTGTTATAATAAAGATAAAAGTCTTGGAAGTAGTCTATTGTCGATTAAAGGTCTGGAGGTCGTTTACCGTTTATAGAAGAGTTTCCTATAGAACACTCGGTGGGTCTTCTATTGCGCTTATATGACCTTCTATTGCAATAACAGACATTATACTTCTATTCTATTAGACTCTCTATTTGATTGGAAATTTATTAAATGATTATAACCACTTTTACACCCTGCCTCTCCAAGCAATATCATCCCTTCATTTCAGTATATATATATATATATTTAATTTAGATATATATATTTTTTTAATTTTGGTATGCTGGAAAAAAATGTACACTACTGCGGGTTTATAAACGTTTTTTTTATGAAACTACCTTTTATCTGTTCGGCAATCGATGCTCTCGTTAGCTAAATATCTAGATATATGTGTTTGCTCTATATGGGACATGGTGTATGAATGTAAATTAACACACACCATTGGGCTATTAAAAATTAAATGCACAGATTTATGACATGAACGTTGTAACCAGCTAACCAGGATAGTGAGCTATAGATACATATCAACAGATACTCTCTAATGTTATACTGTTGCCTGTTACATGTTTCTGTCAGCCTTGTTCGTATCGTATCGAATCGTATCGTTAGATTCGTTTGCTATTTGTTAGCATTAGCGTAAGTATATTTTTGGATTATTGAATTTGAACTTTAAACTTATGTTGGAGCTATATAACAGCAAATAACCTTGTGTGAGTTTACGAGTGTGTGTGTGTGTGTGTGAGTGTATATGTATTTGTTGGCATGAATTAAATTAACGTCTGGCATATTGGCAGCATACGGAATTACGTGGCACCCTTTGGGTTGGTAAACCTGAAATGCCCTTCAGATATGTATAGGAGACAGGCTGACGTAGTATCCTTTGAGGCGGTGGCTTTGTTTTGTTTTTATTCGATTTTGTTGTTGCTGTTGAGCCAGAAGCGGTAGCTGCTGCTGCTGCTGATGACGACGTTGATGCACTTGCCGATGATGTGGTGTTGTATTTTTTATTCAGTTCGAGGTTAGATGTCGACTTGAGAGCCGATTTTATGGGTGTGGACGACGACGAGGATGATGACGTATGTTGGTGGTGTGTGGTCAAGGACAGTGATGGTGGCGGCGGTGGCGGTGTTGTGCCGCTGCATGATAGTGAACGTGATGACAAAGAGAAATTTTCAAAAGCTCGTCGTATCGAACTGGCCGAACGCCTGTGGAGACGTGAAAAACTGGAACGGGCAAAGGATTTGCGATCCTTGTGACAGCCATGGGTGTTAGATTGTTTGCCATTCGCTTGTTTATTTTCGTCAGCCGCATCATCATCGTCGTCTTCGGGTAGTTGTGATTGTTGTTGCTGCTGTTGTTCCTCTATATCTACCGTGCTGCTGGTCTCACTGGACGCACAAGAGATATGCTCCGTTATGGACATGGTCATCATTGATGCCGTCATTATATTACTGGCATTACAGTACTGCCGCTGCTGTTGAGCATCCTTGTTGGCATTTTCTCGATGCGAGGAACAGGAATCGGTCGATGAACTTTGATTGTCCTCCTCATTGCTGGCCGAATAAACTAGGTCATCGTTTGACCTCAAACCAAAACGACGACTCAGTTGTCGAAAGAAGCCCATATTTCGTTCATAGCGTGGTGTCGAGTGCATTGCTGTTGTGTTGGTATTGAGGCCGGGCGAAATGCTACGCTCGTTGGCATTGCGCCGATTGCATTGACGTTGCATGGATGTTGCGTCACTGTTTGGTGCCTCGAAATTGGAACGATGACCTTCTGCTGCGGCAACACTTGTGGCCGAGGATGAGGAGGGCGACGAAAGGGGTATGTCGGCAAAATAGACATGAGCAGTAGTCATTTTGAAAATTTTGGAAAAAATGTTTTATTATTTTATCGAATTACAATTTTTGTTATATTGTTATTATCCTGTTGTGTTTGAACGGATTTTCAATTACAGTTTCCATTGACCCACATGCTAGTTGTGTATTTGCCTATTATTACCGGCTTTTATTGTTTTGTTTTTGAAATTCTCTACAATGTTTACGCTCTCTCTCTCTAAATTTGTCAATTTACCTCTCTCGATTTGTATTTGATTCACTTTCTCATTACTTTTCTCTCTTTTAATTTTTATTAACTTGCCACTTTTCTTGCCGGTTTTCTTTATTTATTTTACCACTACTCACTGCCACTGTTCACAACGTACTGAAGGATTTTTCTGCAAGCGGCTTCTTTATATAGCAGCCCAGCTCCCGTCCTCTCCGGCTGTTTGCACATCCTCAAATCATGGTAATAACTGTCTGCAAAGTGGCGCTCTCTCTCTCTTGCCTTACAACCAACCTTTAATATTCAATGGACATTCACACACACACATGGGTGAATATTTTCGCGGTTTTTTTTCTGCTACGCTGTTTTGTTTGTAAACATTTCCCATTTTATTTTCAACATGCTAATGTTCACTTCCGCTTCCTTTTAGGAGAGGTTCGTTGTTAATTGCTATTGAACTGCATATATCCGTGTATACATACCCCCACTCTTTCCTGGGGTAACCCTAAAAATATAAAAATATAGACATTGTCTTTTGAGACAATGTCATTGCCCCTAAACAAATTTATGGACAGCATCAAATTTCATATTTATTACTCAAACAAAAAACAAAAATTTAAATTTAATTAATTGAAGTTAAAAAGGTTTTCGAATACTGTGTTTACGTTTTGTCTTTATTTGCTTAGACCATGGGTTATAAGTACCACTGGCCGGAAGATAAAATTCAAACCAAACAATTTCTTTGATATTTGAAACTTATGCTGTATCCGAAAAAAAATTAATTTTGTGTTGAAGTCAATAAACTTGTTGAAAAATCACGTGTTTTTTCTGCAGCGTGACAACAACAAACAAAATTTATTAAATTTGTTGTAGCATTTTTTAGATATGATATTGGAGAAGTCGCAAAATTTTTGTTTTCAACTGCATTGCAGTAAATTGGAAACCAGGACACGTGATATTTTAACACCTACATTATCTTTATAGAAATAATAAAAACGTCAGAAGACGAAAACAGGAAAACGTATTAAGAATTCTGGGAAAACCGTTCAGCAAGAGTGTGTTCAAATTTCATGTTACCCTTTTTAAGTTCAACTGGTCTAAAACTTTTTATGTTCCAGTTTTTGGAAAAATTATTTTAAAAGTTTTAAAATTCCCCGAATTGGAATTTTGTTTTCATTTTTTAAGGAAAAAAATCTGAAATACCCATGAATATGTTGTAAAATATGTTTTGTTAGTAACAAAATAGGCGTGGATATTTTTAAAGAATATTTTTTCTAGTCAGAAAATAGGCGTAGATATTTTTAAAGAATATTTTTTCTAGTAAGAAAATTGGCGTGGATATTTTTAAAGAATATTTTTTCTAGTCAGAAAATAGGCGTAGATATTTTTAAAGAATATTTTTCTAGTAAGAAAATTGGCGTGGATATTTTTAAAGAATATTTTTTCTAGTAAGAAAATAGGCGTGGATATTTTTAAAGAATATTTTTTCTAGTAAGAAAATAGGCGTGGATATTTTTAAAGCGTATTTTTCTAGTAAGAAAATAGGCGTGGAAATTTTTAAAGAATATTTTTTCAAGTAAGAAAATAGGCGTGGATATTTTTAAAGAATATTTTTTCAAGTAAGAAAATAGGCGTGGATATTTTTAAAGAATATATTTTCTAGTAAGAAGATAGGCGTGGATATTTTTAAAGAATATTTTTTCTAGTAAGGAAATAGACGTGGATATTTTTAAAGAATATTTTTTTGTAGTAAGAAAATAGGCGTGGATATTTTTAAAGAATATTTTTTTGTAGTAAGAAAATAGGCGTGGATATTTTTAAAGAATATTTTTTCTAGTAAGAAAAAAGGCGTGGATATTTATACCCTACACAACTATGTTGTCAGGGTATTATAGCTTTGTGCAGCCCCAAAAGTTTGTAACGCCGCGAAATATTGGTCCTAGACCCACCTTTAAGTATACCGATCGCCATATCACGACCAGCTGAATCGATCTAGACATGTGTGTCCGTCCGTCCGTCCGTCTGTCCATTATAATTTGTAAACACGATACAGGCCACAGTTATGGAAAAATCTTCACGAAATTATGCATGTAGGATAGGTTCTGGCCAATGAAGACCCCTATTGTTTTTGGTAAAGATCGGTTAATATTTAGGGGATGAAATGGACCAAATACAAAATTTTTGTCGGTTTTTCTGGTCGCTCCAGAGGCCGCAATAATGGCCCGAACATCGTGGAATTTTGCATGTAGAAGGGGATCGGTCCAAAGAATAAGCATGCCTGTTTTGATAAAGATCGGCAAATATTTAACGGGTCAAATGGACCCTGACTTTTGTGTGAAAAATTACAAAATTTGTATTATATAGCGCATATATTTTCCCCTGAAGGACATAGACCCTAGAAGTTGATATTATATCCAAGAGGAGTGGTTGACCTTTAAATGAATACCAATTATATTGTTGTATGTGCTAGACTGTGGGAGTTACACCTAAATATTTACAGGTATCTCCGTATTCGTTTATTATTTAGTACCCCTTATCACTCTTGGGAGCGGAACTATAGCGCTGATCGCTTTGAAATGGTCCATGAGGTTCAAGTTTTGGTCAAGGACAACGCCTATAATTTTCGGTGATGATCAGATAATAATTTTGGAATGAAGTGGACCGAAAACTTAATTTTTTGTGTTATTTCGAGTCAATAGACCACAAATGAAAGCCGAACATCACAATACAACCCACGGTGAAGGGAATCTGGACAATAGCTGTACTGAATACTCGTAATATTCGGAAAATATGTCAGTGTGAGGAAGAGGTGCTGTTTACCTCTAATCGGGCAAGAGGGTGCAAATATCACGAAATATTGCCCAGGCTCGGAATAAACTTCCGCGGAAAGTTTGAGCTCCGTGATAGTAGTGTAGGGTATCACATGGTCGGCCCCGTCCGACTATACTGTTCCACTCACTGGTTTTAAAGAATAATTTTAATTTTTTTATAAATAGGTGACTGCTTTTTTACAAAATAGGCGTGCCTTTTTTAAAATTTTTTTACAAATTTGGCGTGGGTTTTATATTTTAAGAATTTTGACAAAGAATTCGTGTTGTGGATTTTTGAAAGTCGGACGGGGCCGACTATATGATACCCATCACCACTTTCGGCATAATTCAAGAATGCCTACATAAAATTTCAAGTGAAAATATCAACAATTTTTGAAGATATAGCCGATTTATTGTGCTAGCATCAGGTGACAGCAAGAGGGCTTCCCAAACTTTAAACGCGTTTTTCTCCAAACAGCGTTTTTGCGAATGGCGGGCACGATAACTCAAAAGCTAATAACCCAATCGATTTCAAATTTTTGGGACGTTTCTCTGTGAGTGTATAGCTATCGTATGAGCTAGGATAAAGACAATCGGTGAAGATCTTCCTTATTTTTTAACTTAGTTTGCGGTCAAAGCTTGGCGATTTTCCATTAAAGCAAATATGCTATATCGAAATCTAAAACGATTTCAACTAAACTAAGGTATATCTAAATCTGGGCTGATTTTCAGGAAACTTTACATACATCATTGTAGACCTGATTTAGTACGCTGTGCCAAATTTCGTGCAATCCGAAAGATATAAAGGGACTTTGGTACAACATTTACATTAAATCGGACGAAAATATATGGGAGCTATATCTAAATCTTGACCGATTTTCAGGAAACTTTACACACATCATTCTAGACCTAATTCAGTGCGCTGTGCCAAATTTCGTGCAAATCGAAAGATATAAAGCGACTTTGTTACACCATATACATTAAATCGGAATAAAATATATACGGGAGCTATATCTAAATCTGAACCGATTTTCAGGAAATTTAACACACATGATTCTAGACTCAATTCATTACGCTATGCCAAATTTCGTGCAAATCGAAGGATATATAGGGACCTTGGTGCTCTATTTACCTAAAATTGGACGAAAACATATAAGGGAGCATTATCTAAATCTGAACCGATTTTCACGAAATTTAACACACATCATTCTAGACCCCCTTCAGTACGCTGTGCCAAATTTCGTGCAAATCGAAAGATATATAGGGACTTTGATACACCATATACATTAAATAGAACGATAATATATATGGGAGCTATATCTTAATCTGATCCGATTTTCTTTAATTTCAATAGGGTTCGTTCTTGGGCCAAATAAGTGGCTTGTGCCAATTTCATTCAAGGGTTCGTCCGTGGGCCAAATAAGTGACTTGTGCCAAATTTCATTCAATTCATGTAATAAATGCTACCTGCACTTTGTTTACAATTTAACATGGACAGACGGACGGATGGACGGACGGACAGACGGTCATGCATAAATCGACTCAGAAAGTGATTCTATGCTTATTCTCGAAAGGAACCATGTGTCTATCTCGATTCCTTTTGCCTGTTACAAACATATGCACAAAGACATAATACTCTGTACCACATTGGCTAGAACACATTCTACATGCAAAATTTCGTGGGCCCGGTAGTACAAAATGAAAAAATTCGCTGTTGCAAACAAAAATTTACTGTGAAAAAAATTAATTTCGTACGTCCCTGATCTCGATATAAAGATTATGATCTTTAAGAAGTTACGAATGCACCCATCTTGGTGTTTATTCCGACCGAATTTAACGAATGTTTTTTTTTTCAATAAACAAAGTAAGTGTGAACTGCTAGGTATACTTTTGCAAGTTCCAAAATTTGTACTTTAAAAATGCGTATTTTTTATTTTCAAAATATCTTTCTATTGTTAATATAATGATATTTTATCCCACTACCACATCAAATCCCAAAAACACATTGAACCATATCCTT